AAATTTTTTCTTCATTAAAAATAAAGATAATTTTACCACAAAATAAAAAAATTTAAACAATAAAATAAAATATAAAAAAAATATTAATATATTTATTATATTAGAAATAACAACATAATTAAAATATAATTAATAATATATATTTTATAAAATTATTAATATTTTATATATAAAAAAATGAAGAAAAAAAATTAGTGGGGGTTTAATTTATATCTGTCCCTACATATGGTTGTGGTGAAATGTTAGTCCTGTGTATCCTCTTTCTTTACTTCAGGTTCTACCTCTTCGAGAACAGGTTGTTGTTGTTGGGGTACATCATTAATGACTTCAAGAAAAAATACTATGTCATTTCATCCTTTACTGTATAGTGTCAATTTGGTAGTAAGTGGTTACTCCAGTTTGAAATGAAATAAAATATGCTACCATTATCTTTAGTGATACATTGCATTATCCTTAATAATACATTATATAGCCTAACTGTTTAACAATTGAAGATCAATTTCCATTGATAATATTACCAAATTCAATGTTTGAAATACTTTGTACTTTGGGTTTTTTTCCTTCCATGATTCACAACCGTGAACTATAATCATTGATTGTTTACGCTGAGTAGCCTGGAACCAGAACGACCCGTTCTGGTTGCACTTTTAGTGTGTAAATTTTACACCTAGAACGGGCCTTTTCGGATGCAAAATTAACACACCAAAAGTGTAACCAGAACGGCCCATTCTGGTTCCAGCTATTTTAAAAGAAATTGGCATCCACCTATGCATCTACATGGCATCCATGTGGCCACACAGTTAACTCCGTTTAAATAATTTGGACGGAAGTCCCAAATTTAAACCAATTAATTTATTAGGGTCCAAATTGAGACCAATAAATTTATTTGGGACCAGGAACAAAAAATAAATGTAAAACTAATTTAAAACAAACAATTATTATAAGGAACCAAAATAGATTTTTAACCTACTTCATATATGTTATATTAGATTTTCTATTTTATTAATATCATTATATAATATAACTGATATTTACATTATTTAAAAAAATGTAACTAACATTTAAACCAACAATTATTTATCTTCAGTCCCCTTATTTGGTCAAATTTAATTAATATATATATATAAAGGTGATTA